TGAGCTTATAAAACTTAAACTTTGTTATTTATTTATTAAACGAGCGATCGTTTCGCTTGATAAGACCCTTATTCATCGTCTGGAATCGTTTAAAGCCCTTTGAACAGTTTGCAGTTTGCACTGAAACTGTCTTTTGGACCTTGAACCGTTTGGTTCCCATTGAAGTCCATTATATGGAGAAAAATCCTGGAATGTTTTCATCAAAAACATTTGAAACTTCATTTCTTTTCGACTGAAGAAAGAAAGACATGGACATCATGGATGACATGGGGATGATTAAATTATCAGCAAAAGTTTATTTAAAAGTGAACTACTCCTTTAAGTTTAGGATTTGTAGAGCAGCGAAGTGAAAGTGACGAGTGACATTTATGTAAAGCTCAAACTGGATATATCAAGGTTTATTTGCATGTAATCTGTTATTTTTAGAAATAGTAAAAAGAAATAGAGCTGGTTGTAATATACAGTGAACACGTCATCATTCCTTCTACTTATATGCTGATAGAGAGGTTGTATGAGATTTAACAGATGGATCTGTTCTTCATAGTGTAAATTGATATGGTGTAACATAAACTCCACTTATGGGGATCTTCATCGCAGTAGTATTTCATGTGTGTGTGTGTGTGTGTGTCGCTGTTTATATGCATTAGTCTGCACATTTTAAGTGTATTACACACACACACACACCACAGGTAACTGGATCAACATGATGATCATGCTTAAGCATTCAAAGCAGGCAGACCTCATGACCAGATACAGAGAAACGCTAGCATCTCACATACAGAAATACATACGATTCCTTCAGGCCACGAGGGAAGCTCTGTTGCTAAGGAGAGTCGGGCAGATGAGAGTCTGTGTGTGTGAGCGAGAGAGAGAGAAATGGGGGGATGTTAGTGCTAAATTCAATACATATGTGTTTGTGTAGGTGCTGGACTTGAAGTGTTTTTTGCTTGAGAAAGAGAATCGAATCATTCAAAACGAACTGACTCTTATTAATTTCTTGTTCAAAACTGACTAACAGTAACTTTTTCGAAGTTTACATATCTATTTGTTAGTAATAGTTCTGTCATTACATTTAAATATTTTACATTTTTACTTTTAAAGCACTTTTTTCTTCTGTGGTCTGTGTCCTTGTTCCTCTTTTTACAGTGCAATTCAATGGAAACGCACCAAAAACAAATTCCACGGGCTATATTTCAAGTTTTCTATAGCTTTGACATGTCATGCCATATGTAATGTCAACGACGAGACATGAAAACCAGTTATGGTCACTGAGTGGTGTTGGGGAAATTTATTTTTAAAAGCCATGCGTTACTTTTTTCGGGAGTAGCACAATATTGTAAGTAATTGCGTTAGTTACTTTTTGTGGAAAGTCATTTTACATTACTTTTGCAATATTTGTTCTCACCTGGGCTGGGCTTGCTTGTTTGTTTTTCACCAAAAGAGAAATGAATAAGCCTCGAGTGAAGGAAATGTGAATTCTCACCTGAAATTCTCACTTTCGATCCCGAAAGATTTCCTATTCTTCATTTCAACAATAAAAACAAAAAAATAAAACAAATGTGATGTTCATCTAAAGTAATTTCTGCTTATATGTTTGAATTAGATCAACAAAAGTCAGCAGCAAAGACATTGGTTAATAAATTGAGATTTTGTACATCATTTAAAGTATATTTGTGTTATTTAACATTTAAATATTGCAGGTTTGCGTAATATTCTGAGTTTTCATATTCACTGTTTTTATTCATTTTGAGGAATACTAATTCTGTTTTTGTGGAAATGAGATGGGTAAATGCCTGTTCACATTTAGTCTACAACTACAATAACAATGTTAACACAGCGAACACAATGCCTTTTCTTTAACATGGGGATAGAAGAGTCAGTCAATAAAAGAGAAAACAAAGTAAATTGCGTTACTTATTTGAAAAGTGGTAATTTTAAAAGTTACTTTACTACTTGAAATAGTAATCTGATTACAAACATGAACAAACCTAGCCGGCACAACACGTCTAGAGGTGCCATTTTTACATGTAGGAGAACATGAATGACATTTGAGAGGGAAAACTTTCCGCAAATAAGGACTTCAATTCCAGTCTGTTCCTCACATGGCTCTCTCATATGGATTGCTAATGCACAAGTCATGTGGAACGCCTCAAAACATTGCAAATATTTGTTGAACTTCAGCAAAGCAGGCATTGCATTTCTGGAAACATTTTGAAGTGAATATTGAAATCGAATCAGTTCAAATGAACCTTTTAATTAAATTGAAGCGAATTGAATTGAAGCGAATCAGTTCAAATGAACCTTTTAATTAAAACGGATTTGCGCAAATGAATTGGACCAACTCTAAATCAAAGTCTGGTGGTAAAAGAGACCTTTATTTATGAAACAAATTGGTGAAATAATGCATGTAAAAAGGGGGAAAAACGATAACCACAGACAAAGAATAAAAAGTCTGTTTGACCTCTCATCGTTTTGTGGTCAGAGAGAGCTTTGTCATTCTCCTACCGCAGAGCCGAGCATGGAAAGGTCTGGAATGCCCCAAACTGTTTGGGACGTAACGGTCTTCTTAAAAGCCTGCCAGTTAACCTACTCCACCCCACACACACACACACACACTCTCGCCTGGTTTAACCCCGACTCCCTCCTTGCCTGCACTAAAGTTTATTGCATTGATACCAGATTGTGTGAGGGGGGTTTTGAGAAGTGGTTATAAGCCGTATAACCAGTATCTTAATGTATATTTTAGTATGTATATTTTAGTCCTGGTCAAGACAATCTCCTGAGCTCTAAACTGAATGTCAGAATGGGAAAGAAAGGTGATTTAAGCAATTTTGAGCGTGACATGGTTGTTGGCTGGTCTGAGTATTTCACAATCTGCTTAGCTACTGGGATTTTCACGCACAACCATTTCTAGGGTTTACAAAGAATGGTGTGAAAAGGGAAAAAACATCCAGTATTTGGCAGTCCTGTGGGCGAAAATGCCTTTCTAGAGGTCAGAGGAGAATGGGCCGACTGATTCAAGCTGATAGAAGAGCAACTTTGACTGAAATAACCTCTCGTTACAACCGATGTATGCAGCAAAGCATTTGTGAAGCCACAACACACACAACCTTGAGGCGGATGGGCTACAACAGCAGAAGACCCCACCGGGTACCACTCATCTCCACTACAAATAGGAAAAAGAGGCTACGATTTGCAAGAACTCACCAAAATTGGACAGTTGAAGACTGGAAAAATGTTGCCTGGTCTGATGAGTCTCGATTTCTGTTATTCAGATGGTAGAGTCAGAATTTGGCGTAAACAGAATGAGAACATGGATCCATCATGCCTTGTTACCACTGTGCAGGCTGGTGGTGGTGGTGTAATGGTGTGGGGGATGTTTTCTGTCTATTTTTATTTAATTTTCCCATGGGAAAATCTGTATATTTCAGTAGAATTCATTTAAATATGGTAAAAATATGGCGACCAACTCTTATTGGTAGCTGAAAGCATAATAACACAATTATTTAGCAAAAACTTGCAATGCGTGAGGTATACCATGTGTGAATGACGGCTGTTGTGATTCTCAGTTATACAGTTTCTTTGATAACCATCAAGATGTGTGTGTGCGTGCTGAAGTAAGTGATGTCACCCTGCAGGTTTTAGTGGAGGTGCTGTTTAAGGCAGGTCTGCTGGTTAGCCTGTGTGTGTGTGTGTGTGTGTGTGCTGTTGGACACAGTAATGGCAGGGTAGTGAGCCAGAGAGAAGCCCTCATTCAAGCTCACTCAAAACGCTGATCTCTAATTAGCATCCTAAACCCACTAGGGTGGTTCCTGCATGTGCATGTGTGTGTGAAAGCGAGAAAGAGTGTGTGTTTGTGTAAATGTGTGCGGTTTTTGTCTTTTTGGCCTCCATTATCACCGTCTCTTTGTCCTTCTCACGCTCTGTTTGTCTGTGTGTCGATGTGAATGTGACTGAGCGTTTCTCTGAGTTCCCGTTCCATTGCGAATCCAGCGATCTGCAGGGTTAAAACTCCCTCTCAAGGATCAGATTACCAGAGAGAAACAGACCGAGAGAGAGAGTGACAGGAGGTTTCAGGGAATACATGGATTGTCGTGCAAGTTAAGAAAGGAGTGAGGAATAAATACAGCAACAAGGAACTTTTTTTTATTAGTTTGCTTTTTGAACATTTAAGATCATGAGGCATCTTTTCCCTGAAATCAATCTCCTTATTCCCTCCCCGGCTACCGGCAGTCACGGACATCGAGTCAGGTAGAGTGTTTTGTGTTTATTATGTGTGAGATTCCAGGAAAAACCACTTATTTCCAAAACCTTTTTGCAGATTTGTAGTTTGATCTTCTTGAGGGTTTATAGGAGGCAGTGCGGGCATAAGACTTACTCAAGGCAGATTTTGGTTTAAGGGATTTCTTTCAATCAAAGCCAGTCTATATGGGATCTCTGGAGACATCAGCGCTACTTTTTTGAGCTTTCTATCTCCTACTCTTTATGTGTGCCTGCTGTCATGTCAAAAGGAACGTTAACATTATAAAAGCATTTATACTAAACTGTGATGCTGAGGTGTCAACCTGCATCTATGCAGCAAAAAAAAAAATGAGAAAAGGATAACAAAAGGAAGTATGTTGTTGCCCTCTCTTGATGGATGGATGGATAGATGGATGTGTGTTTGAGCTAGTGTGTGTTTGTTTTGTTGTCATAGTACGGTCTGAATGATGGTGGCCACCCGAGAGCGAGGGATGCTGTTAAACACAGCGATCAGTTACTCTGGTTAGCCACTGTGACCCTCATCAGATCCAAAAATGTACAGTCATGTACAATATTAAAAGTCCATCATATAGTGTGGTCTTTAAAGCTCTGATGTGGTTCAAAAATCACTGCTAATGCTGTTTTTTTCTCAGTCCAAAGATGTGTTTCTATATATTGTTTCTGCTATGAATAGAAGTTCCATAACATTCATATCTTTGGAAACAAAGGCTCATATCATGTCTAAACCTCTCTTTCAGTTGGGATGACAGCAGCTCAGTCAGCAGTGGGATCAGTGATGCTATTGATACTGATGACATCAACACCAGCTCCTCCATAAGCTCCTATGCCAACACCCCCGCCGCGTCCCGTAAGGCCCTGAATGGACAGGTATGACCCGCGCACATTTACACACACATACAAGCACAGTATGCATTTATTTATGAATGTTAACATTACATATATGCGCATGCACCTTTGTGTAAAACCTAAAAGTTTTAGATCTTATAACCACTAATTACTCAGCTCAACTCTATAGAAATCATACAGAAATGTTGTATAGAAAATGTTGCATCTGGCTTTGTTAGAGATGCAAATGTACATTGATGTTAAAAGCATAAACTCTCGGTCCCAGTTGAAACTAGAAACATCAAGTTCATCAAGAAAAGAGTTATTTACAAAATTGCAGTAACATTTCATAGTATTACCTTTTACTGTATTTTTTGACCAAATAAAGGCAACCTTGATGAGCATAAGAGACTTCACGGTCAAACACATTACAGTATCTTACCAACCCTAAACATTTGAACTGGACTGCAAGAACTATATATATATATATATATATACAAATAGTTCTTGCAGTCCATATATATATATATACTGTATATACTACCGGTCAAAAGTTTTAGATCGGTAAGATTTTTTATGTTTTTAAAAGAAGTCTTTTCTGCTCACCAAGGCTGCAATTATTTGATTAAAAAAAACAAAAAAAAACAGTAATATTGTGAAATATTATTACAATTTAAAACAGCGGTTTTCTATGTAAATATACTGTATAGTGAAGTGTAATTTATTCCTATGATCAAAGCTGAATTTACAGCATCATTACTCCAGTCTTCAGTGTCACATGATCCTACAGAAATTATTATAATATGATGCTCAAGAGACATTTATGATTATTATCCATGTTGAAAACCGTTTTTTACATTTTTATTTCAGGATTCTTTGATGAATAGAAAGTCCAAAAGAACAGAATTGATCTGAAATGGAAAGCTTCTTTAACATTAATCACTATACCATTCAAAAGTTTGGGGTCAGGAAGAATTTATTTTTTATTTTTGGGGGAAAGAAATTGTAAAATACTTTTATTCATCAAGGATGAGTTAAATTGATCAAAAGTTACAGTAAAGATATTTTTAATTTTAGAAAAGATTATATTTTAAGTAAATGCTGTTCTTTTGAACTTTCTATTCATCATAGAATTTTGGGGGGGAAATGGTACACGACTGTTTTCAGCATTGAAAATAATAATTTATGTTTTTTGAGCATAAAATCAGCATATTAGAATGATTTCTGAAGGATCATGTGACACTGAAAACTGATGTGTAATCAGCAACAGTAATGATGTTGAAAATTCAGCTTTGATCACACTATATATTCACATAGAAAACAATTTAAATAATTAAAATGTAAATAATATTTCACAATATTACTGTGTTTTTTGTATTTTTTTTGTTTTTTTTGTATTTTTTATCAAATGATTGCAGCCTTGGTGAGCGGAAGAGACTTCTTTTAAAAACATAAAAAATTCTTACCGATCTAAAACTTTTGACCGGTAGTGTATATATATATATATATATATATATATTCTATATAGTTTTCCATATATATATATATATATATATATATATATATATATATAATAAAATAAACATAAAATTGATGTATATATATATATATATATATATATATATATACATCAATTTCCCCCCCTCTATATAGCATTTATTTGATATCCAACTACATCTTAAACACAAAGAGATTGTTCTCCTGTTCTCTGTCCATCCACCCCTTTTTTTCTTCTTTTTCTGTTTACTTGAACCCAACTCTCACATTCCCCTGCTTAAGACCCTCATAAAGCGCTAAATAGGTGGAGTTGTGTCAATATTTAAGCCAAAGCAATAGACATGCCTCTTTGCACTAAAACAGTGGAACAAATAAGCGGTTAAGAGCAAATAAGTTTGACTTCAGGACTATATAATTTCTCATTATATGGAAATGCAAAGTTTGGTAAGTGTGGGTCGAATGAAAACGAACTCTAAAACCACCAAATCTACTGGACGTTGTGATCGATTGTTGTTTTATTGACATTGTAATAGATTTTGATGTAGAATTATACAGGTAATTATAAGGAAATAAATTGACAATAACTGATAACTCTGAAATTTCTTGTCTAATTACCAAATAATATGTGAGTACTTTCTAATATTGATATATTCATAATGTTGAGTTGATTTAGGTATTGTTTTCCATATCCTCAGACAGACATAGAGAAGCATTCTGCGGGCGAACGCAACACTGCTTGGTCCAGTGATGAGGTCAAGAAGTTGGATGGGGGTTTGGATTGTGGCATCAAAATGGATGGAGGTCTGAAGTGGCGGAAGAATCCTTCAGACGTGTCGGAGGAGTCGGATAAGAGCAGCTGTGGACGGAAAGCTGCACCCATCTCTCAGACCGGCTCTTGGAGGAGGGGCATGAGTGCACAGGTGGGCGTGACCGTACCCCGGACCAAAAGCTCGACCGGAACCACTGGGACCGGCGCCATTAAGACACAAGGGACAGGTAGGTGTTGTGTTTCCTAGAGCGTTCTGAAAAGTTTATTTTTCGGCTTCACTATTTAATCAAATACACACTGCTTGTTTCAGAGTGAATCACGCCGTTTTTGTTTTGTTTTGTTTTTTGAGTTTATTCAAAATCTCCACCATTCATACAAACATCCATTCTTATGGTCTTGAGTTTGAAATGCTTGTAACATACATTTGGGAATGCAGCATGCACCAAACTTGTAATGAGAAGCGCTTATAAACAATGATTAGCTTTGAGGCCTTTCCGCCAAAATAAAAGCATGAGAGTTTAACTTTTGAAAATGAAGTACTGCAATTATTAGTATTATTACAGTTGTACTGCAAAATATTTTTTCTTAAATACTGTTTTTTTTATTTGCATTGAAATATTACAATACCAATATTTCATGTTTTCTATAATATTTGTATTTAGTAATAATAAAAATCATAATAGGAAATAATTATAATTTACTGTTATTTATATATAACAAAAAAATAGCCCGATTTTGCAGCCCTAAATAAAAGCTTTCTTTTTTCAAAATTTTTTGTCAGCAATTTTTATCAGTTGTACTGTAAAATAAAATTATTCTAAAAAATGTATTTGCACTGAAATATTACAATCGTAATATTTCTTATTTTGTTTAATATTTTATTTAGTAATACTAATAATCAAAATATAAAATAATACAAATTATTATTATTATTATTATTATTATACAGTCATATTGATATATAATGAAAAAAAACATTTGCCAAAATTTTGCTGCCCGACAAACAATCACAGCAAATGTAGATCTCTTTTTTTGCACATTTTTAATTCGCGATTGGATCCCACCTGCAAATCATGCAGCCCTAGTTTAATTTAATACACAGTGAAATCCCACACACAGTGTTGACATTATCTGCAAGTTTTGTGCATGATCAACTCTTCCAGCTGTAACGTTCTCTTTTCCAATAGGTAAAACAGATGATGCTAAGGTCTCAGAAAAAGGCCGTATGTCTCCCTCTTCCAACATCGTCCAGCATTCTTCCTCGGACGCCGGCCGAAGCAGCGGAGACGAAGCCAAGAAAACCCCAGCAGGTCGAGTCCCCACAAGCACATTCGGTTTCAAGAAGCCCAACGGCGTCCACACTGTGGGAACCACCTCCAGCATCACACTGGTCACAGCGAGCGGCGCCACCATTACCAGCGGCTCCGCCACCCTGGGCAAGATTCCCAAATCCTCCGCACTCCTGGTTGGTGGGAGAGGATCTTTAAAAGGGCCTGTGGATGGTTTATTGCCCCCTCAGGAGGATGCCTACCTGTCCCCCAGTGCTCGTTCAACTCTGCAGTACCGCAGTCTTCCTCGACCGTCCCGCTCCGGAGCCGCGGCCCGCAACGGAAACCGATCGTCGACGAGCAGCATCGAGTCGAGCCTGAGTGCCCGGACGCCCGCCCTTACCACCATCACAGCCAATAAGCCGAGAGATTCCGCTCCTAAAACCAACGGGCACGTAATCCAAGCCAATCAGACGGACAAAGAGAAGGGCGTGACTTCAGAGATGGACAACCTGAGATCCAGTCCGATTGTTTCGGGAGGAGGGGCTGCTACTATTCCTCAGACAGCGAGGCAGGGGAACAAGTACAGTGAGGTCTCGTCCCCTACATTGCGAAGGTACAAACAAGTTCAACATACCACAGAATCTCTCCGAGTTTTCATTGACGCTTCCTCAATTAATGGCTCTATTCATCTTCTTACAGTACATAGCCAAACATGTGAAAGAAGGAATGAGTTTTTGCAACCAGTTAGCGTGAATCTGTTCACTTAACCTGCTTTATGACAGTTATAGATCACGACTGTTTGGGGTGGCTGTTCGTGTTATTGATTATTTGAATCTTTTCCCACTATTTTTAAGGATAGAAACATGCTTTGTTTCTCTTCAGCCTCATGGGTTGAAAGGGACATAGTGAACTTTAAAGGTTGGACATAAAGAGAAGTATGGCTTTGCGAGTATCAATCATATTTAGTATACTTGCACATAGCTCATACTTTGGTGTTTAACTCCTGCATGTTTGTGTTATGGACTTGATCAGACTTCAGAATTCTTTTATTTCGTTTTTTTATGGATGATAAATAGAGGGGGGATTCCCATAGACTTACATTGAAGGAAAGACCTAGAGACCAAAATTATAGATCCCGATACACAACACCATTCATATGTTTTGTATCAAAAAGTATTTTGTTAAAATACAGTCAAACTAAAAATTATTCAGACATCAGATTTTTTTTTACTAGTGGGTGCAGGACACTATAGTTCATTTATGTAAGTGAGGATTGCAAAATAAAGTAAACTGTGACATATTATACCCAAAAATTGGACTACCAATTTTTTTATACCCATAAAGTGGACTACCAGTAAAATGTATTAAGAAATTTCGGACCAAAATGTATTCAGACACTTTGCCCTGACCATTTTTTTTTCTTTAATTGCTAATGCGACCTTTTTACACCACAGACTGAACAAAGTGAAGCATTGCTTGGTTATTTGTTGACCTAAATTGGTATTCAACCTAATTCATTTGTGACAGTCTAACAGAAGCATGGCCAAAACCAGTGAAATATCAACTGATTTGTGACCCTGGATCACAAAACCAGTCAGAAGGGTCAATTTTCTGAATTGAGATTTATATAAATAAGCCCTACATCCTAACAAACCATAAATCAATAAAAAGCTTATTTATATAAATCTGAGGGTGCAAAAAAATCTAAACATTGAGAAAATCGCCTTTAAAGTTGTCCATTTCTGTTCGTGATTTTGCAGCATTCACTCACTATTTACAGTAGGATATTTACAAAATATCTTCATGAAACTTGATCTTTACTTAATATTCGAATGATTTTTGGCATAAAAGAAAAATTGAAAATAATGACCCAAAGTGTTTTTGCTATATACCTGTGCGACTTTGACTGGTTTAAACTATAGCGAATAAACTGATAATATGAGAAATACTGACGGTGTCTTAATGAATTTCGGTTTGACTGTAATTGTATTTTAATTAGAGCCAGACCGATATATCGGCCGATATTAGGCATTTTCCATAATATCGGTTTCGGCAGTAATAAATGGCCGATAAATGAATATTTAAAAAATAAAATAAAAACGGACGAAACACGCTTTAATCATCTCTCCTTGGCCTGTTATATTGAAAATGTATGTTTTACAATTTGCAGTATGATGTTATCTATTGCTAAATTATGGCTCATCATAGACTAGCTAACCACAAAGCAAGCTAATGCCACTATCATCAGTGGAAGACCGCTATCGTTAACATTAATGAGCTTGGAAACCACAATGAACTTTTTCTGCCTAAATAAAGTAATTATTACTGTATTTATAACTAGCATATCTCTAGTTACAGTCCCTGCATAAGTTATACTTGCGAGGAGTGAACACTTAGACATAGAGAAAAACTATCAAACGTATCTTGTGCAGAAAAGTTAGCTTTTTCTTTTACACGTGTGTGAAATCCAACAATATTTAATAAGAAAAAAATATCGGCCGATATATCGGAATATCGGATTTTAAAACCCAAAAATATCGGTATCGGCCTTCAAAATCCTTTATCGGTCGGGCTCTAATTTGAATCAATTCTCTGTTTCTCTCAGACTTTTCGGAGGTAAGGCTGCCAAGCAAGCCCCAGTCACCACTGCAGAGAGCATGAAAAACTCTGTGGTCATCTCCAACCCCCACGCTACCCTTGGGCACACCCAGTCCTCCGGCGGGCCCTTGGACTCCCCCTCCACAGTGCCAGGTAGTGGCAGCAGCAGTCCCCTGTACGGGGGTCGCGGCGCCAGCGTAGGAGGCAGCGAACAAGCTTCGAGCCCTGGTTCGGTGTACTCCACGGGCACAGGGACCTGGGGAACCACCATCAGCAGCTCTTCGGCTCTCGGGTACCCCTCCGTGAGCAGCATGCACACCAGCAGCGAGTCCATTGACATGTCTGTAGGCAGCGGGCATCACCGTGAGGACGTTCACCCGGCACTGATGAGAACGGGTAGTGCCAAGACGGGCATGTCAGAGAGGTGAGTCTGGAAGAGAGTAGGAAAAAACTGGAATATTGAAATATTTTGATGTATAATTCAGAATTTATAGTTTGGTAACACTTTAGTTTAGGGTCTAGTTCGCACTATTAACTAGTTGATATATTTCAAAGATATTGGCTGTTTATTAGTTCTTATAAAGCACTTATTAATGCCTTAAACTGAATGACCATAATACAACCCAATACTTAAACTCAACTACCTTACTAACTATTAATAAGCAGTAATTATGAGTTTATTGAGGCAAAGTTCGTAGTTAATAGGTAGTTAACAATGAGAATTTGACCCTAAACTGAAATGTGACCTATAGTTTTAATCTGAATTATGTTTGTGTTATTTTGAATTAGAATCATGCACAAATATCTGTGGGTGTGACTATGAATCTTCTAAATTATTATTTCCTTATTTTAATCACTCCTAACTTATTTTAAATGGCAATAGAATAAGAGACATTGCAGCTGCAGTCTATGAATTTGAATTAGAATTCTTAATCAGAATGCGAACACAAATTAGAATTCTGTTTTTGATTCACATTCTGATTCGGAATTACTAATTTCAGTTCATATTTTCTATTCAGTTTGTTGAAACATCACACATATCGGTAGTTCCACCTGGTTATGACCTCTGGGAAACGTCTGAATTCAGAATGAAAACCAGTAAACGTTTTTCAATTCAGATTGTGGTCACACTAATTTATTTAATTGTTGTACTTATAATTTGCTGAATTACGATAAATTATAATTTAGTCATGATTTAAAAAAAAAATATATATATATATTCTGAATATCCACATACACACTACAAGGTTTTAGGAGGGACAACCACATTTAAATGCTGTGAATCCTCTAAATATTCTGTATTTTAGTGATACAGGAGTCAGTCATGAAATTTTGATATAATTGGCATAGTGATAACTGTTGGAAAAGAGGTGTGCAACTTTATTTAGCAGCAGTGTGTGCATACTTTACTAAATCCGAATCCAAATCATGGATAAACATCAATGAAGTTTAAAAAGTTTAAATGAAACAAGCATTGTTCTATCACAGTGCTCAGAAAAACCTTCAAGGAATAGTTCACTTAAAAATGAAAATTCTGTCATCATTTACTCACCCTCAAGTTGTTTCAAACTTGTAATAATTTCTTTCTTCTGCTGAACACAAGGAATATATTTTGAAGAATGTCAGTAACCAGACAGTTGATGGACCCCATTGACTTCCACAGTAAGAAAAAACTTCTATGGAAGTCAATGGGGTCCATCTACTGTCTGGTTACCGACATTCTTCAAAATATATTCCTTATTGTTCAGCAGGAAATTCATACAGGTTTGACAGAATTGTCAAAAAATGTGTGATATTGCAGTGTGGAAGCCTCTTTGGGTGTCTCTAATTCTGTATTCATCTCTTCTCCAATGATCTTTTTCTCTATCAACCCTCTCCCCTCCACATTCCCCAAGTCCCCTCTCCTCTCCCTCTGCGAGTCCTAAATTCAGCCGTAACACATTGCCACGGAAGCAAGACAGGTAAAATGTCCCATAGCTTCTGGGTCCACTTCTGCTGCTTTTTAATACTGACATGGCTTTGTGTCTTTGTGTTTGCGTAATTTTATACAGTAGTTTTAAAGACTCATTAAAAATCTAAATTGCGGTTTTGTTCTTAGTTTCAAGGTCATGTGAGGTCACCGTAATTTTGCCAAGTAAGACATGTCCCTGCATCAACATATTGTGTTGATCCTGAAACAACATTTTTTTCCCCCCCGGAAATGTCCTCCTAACCCTATCCATACCCCTACCCGTAGGTCATCCCTGAAATGACAGATTAATAACACTGATGTAGAAGCATCTAACTCTGGTTGTAAGCAGTGGTGGAATGTAACGAAGTACAAATACTTTGTTACTTTACATTTTTCACGTATCTGTACTTTACTTAAGTAGAATAAATAGCGCCTACTTTTTACTTTCACTTTGTTACGTTTTGCAGCAATTATTGTACTTTCACTACATTTCTACAACTTTCTGTTACATTTTCTGATCAGTTTTTCCCCTGCCAAAACGTCATCCTGACCGTCTCGTCGCATGTTTGTCTCACCAGTGAAGTTTGATTGTCATAGATATATCAACCCGGTCACACTTAATGCGTCTCTATATGCGAAAAGAAAAAAAAATGCTGGGTTGTTTTAAGCCAACTTTGGGTCAAATATGGAGAACCCAAATGTTGGGTTAAAACTGTAATTAAAAAAATTAAGCCAATGGCTGGGTTTGTCCATATTTGACCCAAAGTTGGGTTAAAACAACCCAGCAATTTTTAGAGTGGATGCCGAATAGTATGGCAAGCCAAGAGGTTCAGAATTACACCATAAATGAAGTAAGGGTTAATGCCCGACGAGGTGTCCATTGTCAGGTTTTAATGGACGACGGCGAGGCGTAAACCGGCCGACGCGCAGCGGAGGACGGTTGCCTCCGCCGAAGTCCATTAAAACCTGACAATGGACACCTCGGAGGGCATTAACCCGCTTATACCATGGTCACTTGCCAAATAAAACATTAGTTTATATTTTAATTAGGCTAAATCTAGTTTTTACAAATAATAACTTGACTGACTGTTTATCTAGCAATCGGAGATATTTATAGTCCGCTTAGCTCGTATCCCTTCAGGTTCACAAATGCATTTTTTTTTCATGAAACACAAAGGTAGGCATAGTTTTTTTTTTATTACACATAAAACAATTAATCAAACAACAATAAAAAACAATTAGCTCTGAGCTCCAGCGATTTGCGCTTAACGTTATAGAGGGCAAAAATTAATCAGATCAAAGAGAGGGTCATTTGCCTCAGGCTCCTTAGGCTTGAAACGCTGTAACGTTCAGCCTTCTCCTGCCTTGGTTGTCTGGACAGCTGCGTAAAACTCCCGCAGGGTCTCATTCAGGGGTGCGTTTCCCGAAAGCATCGTTATCCAACTATGGTCGCAAGTTACGTCGTTACCAATAGAGTTCAATGGAGCAGCGCAGCAGCGGTGTAATTTCCTCCGTTTTATTTACATTTTTTCTTTCTTCAGCAGCATACCAGTCGTCAAAGTTGCCATATTCTCCATAGATGTTAAAAGAAATAGCACGAAGTCGCTCATTGTTGTATTAGGCTATAATATCTAACGTTAGATGATAGAGCATGTGACTGCCTGTTGCTATGGTTACTCACAGCCGTTGTAGGCAGCGCATTTATTTATTAATTTCGAATGGTAAACAGGCAGTTTCACCAGAACTACTTTACTAGGTGTCCTCTATCACTTTTTAACGGACACCCTGCAGCCAATCAGAATCGAGTATTCACCCAGACGATGGTATAATCATGTTTATATTAGGAGTGTTGGGTTGAATGAGTTAGAATTAACTGTTTTATTATTAATCATTAGAATATAGACATTAAGAGAATACATTGTCAAGTACTTTTACTTTGAATACTTAAAATACTTTTAAAATCAGGCACTTATTACTTAAAGGAGTAGTTCACTTAAAAAAAAAAAAAAACTTTTGCTGATAATTTACTCACCCCCATGTCATCCAAGATGTCCATGTCTTTCTTTCTTCAGTCGAAAAGAAATGAAGGTTTTTGATGAAAACATTCCAGGATTTTTCTCCATATAATGGACTTCAATGGGAACCAAACGGTTCAAGGTCCAAAAGACAGTTTCAGTACAAAGGGCTTTAAACGATTCCAGACGATGAATAGGGATCTTATCAAGTGAAACGATCACTCATTTAAGAAAAAAAATAAATAACAAATTTTAAGTTTTATAAGCTCAAATGGTCGTCCTGCTCTGTTCTGTGATGTGCGTTTGAAACTCATTCATTTCGTTCATTGAATGAACCAAATGACTCTGAAAAAGATTCGTTCATTTTGATGAACAAGTTCGAACAGGAGAGTCGCGAACGGCTTTTGGACCTTGAACCTTTTGGTTCCCATTGAAGTCCATTATATGGAGAAAAATCCTGCAATGTTTCCATCAAAAACCTTAATTTCTTTTCGATTGAAGAAAGAATGGCATGGACATCTTGGATGACATGGCGGTGAGTAAATTATCAACAAAAGCTTTCATTGTGGTACTCATACTTTTGCTAAAGTAAATATATCTGTACCTAAGTCCAAAAATGAAGTAATTCTTCCACCACTGGTTGTAAGCCTAAACTTGACATAAACTGTAAACTTGCCCCTTAGCTCTGATTTAGACCACTCCTAATGTTTATTGCTGCTAACACAGTATAACAAAAAGTGTTTATGAAAAAACATTGCCTTTACCCTACTTTTAAGCGCACCCGTAACATTTTGGCATAACTTCTGGCAATTGTTACTCTAGCCACGCCTAGTGGTGAAATCCATAACTGTGCTCGATCAAAGCCAGAGCTTTCATTACAAACATAGTTTGTTAGCCTTAAAATTAATGCAGTCAAGATTAGCTTTTATTTTGAGCTGTAGATTAATCAAAGTATGATCACCTTTAATAGTGCGATTATAATCGAATTAAGCCTCATTATCTGTCTGGAATACCACCCCTCATCATGATTAAGTTCCTCTCCTCCCTCGCTGATTCATTTTATCCGTCTCTCAGCGGTTCCTGCAGTGATAGAAGCACGCTTCCCAAGAGGGGACTCAAGTACAGGTGCATTGTGGGAATATGCAGATCTTACTGCAATGACACTCACGCTCTCTTTCTTTCTGTTCTCTGATCTCTCGCACATGCTTCCAGTGTGGCCACAGTTTTATTTTTGAGCACTGTTTTCCGTTGCAGTTTTGGTGTGAGCGCATGGCACGTGTCACTTGTACAGAGTTCGTATCACATAATGTATTGTTTGTGAATTAGCAGCTTTTTTGGAAAAATGTGTTTTTCTTTCCAGTTTTTTTACTTTATTTGTCTGCAAAGTTGTTGCACAATTTTTATTTGTAAATCTTACACTTATATTTTTGCAATTCGCTGATGAATTCTGAGTCATTTAAAAATATTAAAACATGAATGTTTTATTTAATGGTCATAAAGTAACATTGTATTTAGTTTTTTTGTGAATGCAAAGTGTATATTACACCTTAATGTTAGTTATAGATATCATAAAATGTAAAATATATTTTCATATACACTACCGTTCAAAAGTTAGCTTATGTTTGTAGCAAGGCTGCATTTTTGGTAAAAAAAAATGCAGTAAAACAGTAGTATTTTGAATATTATTACAATTTAAAATAACTGTTTTCTATTTTAATATTTTTTTTAACATGTCATTTATTTCTGTGATGGCAAAGCTGAATTTTCTCCAGTATTCAGTGTCACATGATCCTTCAGAAATCAATTCTTAATACATTTTTTCAATATTCTCAGAATGATTGAATAGAAAATATTGTTAGTAAAAAGAAAGAACAGCATTTTTTTGAAACATGAATCCTATTTTAACATTATAAATTTCTTTACTGTTACTATTGAACAATTTTATTTTATTGAACTAATTATTTCATACATAAAAACTTTTGAACAATAGTGTATATGCGTAATATTTAAAACAAAATACTATACAAATAGAAATATAAAATGTCCTTATATATGCTAAAGTGTCTTTGTTTCCTCTTGCATTGGTCAGGTTTCAGATCGCAGTATTTGTAATAGTGACATTTGAATGCTGGTATCTGATTGGATGATGCTCTTGTTGCAGGTACGCCCCTTCATCACAGCTGCGTCAGGAA